AAGGCCCTCCGCTTCTTCCTGTCCCGCAGGCCCGACCAGTCCCCCTCCACTGACACCCTCATCCGCTTAGCCGAACTCGTCCTCACACTCAACAACTTCTCTTTCAATTCCTCCCACTTCCTACAGACAAAGGGGGTAGCCATGGGTACCCGCATGGGCCCAAGCTACGCCTGCCTCTTTGTAGGTTACGTGGAACAATCCCTCTTCCGTACCTACACCGGCCCTAAACCCCACCTCTTCCTCCGTTACATTGATGACTGTATCGGCGCCGCCTCGTGCTCCCACGAGGAGCTCGAACAGTTCATACACTTCACTAACACCTTCCACCCCAACCTTAAATTTACCTGGACCATCTCTAACACCTCTCTCCCCTTCCTGGACCTCTCTGTCTCCATATCGGGCAACCACCTAGAAACCGATATTCATTTCAAGCCCACCGACTCCCACAGCTACCTAGAATACTCCTCCTCCCACCCACCTTCCTGCAAAAATGCTATCCCCTATTCCCAATTCCTTCGCCTCCGCCGCATCTGCTCCCAGGATGAGGCATTCCACTCCCGTACATCTCAGTTGTCCTCGTTTTTCAAGGACCGTAACTTCCCCTCCTCGGTGGTCGAGAACGCCCTCAACCGTGTCTCCCACATCTCCCGCACCTCATCCCTCACACCCCGTCCACGCAATAAAAACCAAAAAAGGATCCCCCTCGTCCTCACGTACCACCCCACCAACCTCCGGATCCAACGCATCATCCTCCGACACTTCCGCCATCTGCAATCCGACCCCACCACCAAAGACATCTTTCCCTCCCCACCTTTATCTGCTTTCCGGAGGGACAACTCTCTCCGTGACTCCCTTGTCCGCTCCACACTCCCCTCCAGCTCCACCACACCCGGCACTTTTCCCTGTAACCGCAGGAAGTGCTACACCTGCCCCCATACCTCCTCCCTCACCCCCATCCCAGGCCCCAAGAAGACTTTCCACATCAAGCAGATGTTCACCTGCACATCTGCCAATGTGGTATACTGCATCCGCTGTACCCGGTGTGGCTTCCTCTACATCGGGGAAACCAAGCGGAGACTCGGGGACCGCTTTGCAGAACACCTACGCTCGGTTCGCAACAAACAACTGCACCTCCCAGTCGCGAACCATTTCAACTCCCCCTCCCATTCCTCAGACGACATGTCCATCCTGGGCCTCCTGCAGTGCCACAACGATGGCACCCGAAGGTTGCAGGAACAGCAACTCATATTCCGCTTGGGAACCCTGCAGCCCAATGGTATCAATGTGGATTTCACAAGTTTCAAAATCTCCCCTCCCCCCACCGCATCCCAAAACCAGTCCAACTCGTCCCTGCCTCCCTAACCTGTTCTTCCTCCCACCTATCCCCTCCTCCCACCTCAAGCCGCACTTCCATCTCCTACCGACCAACCTCATCCCGCCCCTTGACCTGTCCATCCTCCCTGGACTGACCTATCCCCTTCCTAACTCCCTACCTACACTCACCTTTCCTGGCCCCATCCCCGCCTCTTCGACCTGTTTGTTTCCTCTCCACCTATCCTCTCCTCTATCCCTCTTCTATCCGCCTCCCACTCTCTCCCTATTTATTTCAAAACCCCCTTCCCCTCCCCCTTTTCTGATGAAGGGTCTAGGCCCAAAACGTCAGCCTCTCAAGTCAAATCTTATCACTGAGATTTGCTCTAAATGTCAGCATTTTGAGCACTTCTACATCTTGTCAGGCAAATCATAAGTTTCTAAGATCTTAGACTTAGCAAGGGTGCACTGCATTTTGTTACCTTGTTTGCTGACATTATTTGTTGTCCTGCTGTTTTTCTGCTCTTGGGCACCAAACTATTTTTATTCATTTATGTAAGGATATGTTGTGGGAATTCATCTCTGTGCCAATAGGTACAGCACTGTCTTTTGTGATTACTGGAACTGCAGCCTTTTGACACTGAGCAAAGGTAATACGTTCCGTATATTGCATTAGCTTTTTAGTGGCTTAGCACAAAGATTTTCTATTCATTCTTGAATACTGTGCTGCAGTCGAACATTGGGACAGGGCTAAACTGCAAACGTTTTATTGGTCCTGTGAATGTTGATGAAAGCACTAATCTTTTCCCCCGGCTCCCTGTTCTGTTAGCTATTTTATTTAAATTCTAGGTTTATGTTCCTGTGTGTTCATCTCTTAACATAGATTAATTTTTTCCTGTTTGAGTGTGCATGTTATTTGGTTATTCTTATATATGCAAAAATTGTCAATTTTCAATTATTTTCAGGTTTGCATATGCCAGCAGATTCTGCACATAGGTTTTTTTACATGTGACTTCACTTCTATTAATATTGTTATCACTGGATGCAGTGAGACTACAACCACTAAACAATTTGAACAATGTGATGTATGACCAGCTGAGGAGAAACCAAAACATCTTTGGACAATCCTTTTTACTGAGTGCAAATCGAACCACAATATTTTTACTGTGGACGCAGTGTAAAATTGAAACTGGGTGTGACCCAAATTTTGCAGTCATCAAAAGAAAAGTTACTGCCCATTCACTGTGCTATCTGCTGATCTTTAGATTTTTGATTCACGGTTTACTATTTACTAACAACTTATTATCCGATCCAGCTGGACACCTTCTACAGGGAGATGGGGCAGGGCAGACAGCAGTATGGCTCCTCAAGCAATCAAACAAAGAATCCTCACTGAGACAGTTAGGAGGAAGCTTTAACCACAAACAGGCTGGTGTGTTCAAGTTAGTCCTATTGGTAAAATCTTAAAAAAAACAAAAATCCAGTCACCAGCTGACCTCCCACCAATTCACCTCCAGCTCTACTGGAGATGGTACGTTGGACAAATGACTTCCCTGCTGCAGGAATTGGGTTGGCATTTTGAAAACCTTCCAGCCTTATTCCTTTTAACTTTTATTATTTTACTATGAGTAGCCAGTTTCTTGGTCGATAGGGGACCTGGCAGCTAATCCCAGTTTTGAAGGAGGGTCTGAATTTCTCCAAAAATTTGTTTTTATTTCAGATCTCCAGCATCTGCAGTCTTTTTTATTTAATCCAGCTGGGGACTGGTTATATCCAGGAATTAAGTTCTGTTAAACCAACCAGCTGAACCCTGCATGCTTATCTGTGCAACCCCATGATCAGGCAATTCCTAG